AAGCTCTTATTTCTTTTTCTTTTAGATGAACCACCAGGCAGATCAGGATTCAAGGTGACTTTCCCAGGCAACCGAGGTCATGAGGCCAGGAACAATCCACCGGTCAGATAAAACTTCTTGACTCTCACGATCCTTCTCCGTCACTTGCTTCTCCACAGCAGATGAATCAGAAAGCTTTGTCTGAAAATCCTTGTCCTCTGCTTCCTTTGACTTGCTATCAAATTCATTTGGAGAAGATCCAAAAGGAGATTTGCTGCTGTTTTCAAACATATTGTCCATTCCAACGGTCTTATCATTCCTAGAAGAAGCTTCATATGCACCTTGCTTCTTTGTTTTTCCAGATGCTGGCTCCTCTGGTTTAGATCGAACGTCTTCTGTGGGGAGCATAGAAGCACAGCTTTCTGATGCAGTTTCATCCTGAACAGCTTCTATCACTTGTTTCACATCAGTAAATATGGTCTTTTCCAAGGGCTTTTCTTTGTTTACTAACGTCACAGAATTGATATCCTTGTTCTTTACAGAGGCAAGCCATTTCATGCGCTCCTCCTTACTGAGTGGTGGAACATTGTCTCCACAAAATGGAGGGAAGTCTCTCACAACAGTGGCTCCTCCCTGTGGATAATGCTTTCTTCCTAGAGTCTTTCTCAAGCTGCTCTTATCAGGATAGAATTTCACACCACCTGTTGGAAAAATTTCCTTTTCTGAATTAGCAATATTCGCCTGAGGAAAATCCTTCTGCAAACCAGAAATTTCATTTACTGGGTTTTCTGACAAAAAAACTACCTTCCTTATTACTGCTTGCTCACCTCGTGCAGCCAACCACCCACACCCTGGTGGAAAATCACGAATTGCATGAACTATACCATGCTTATACTTGGATGTAGGGGCAGAGTGACCATTTTCAGTTCGCCTACTTTCCAAGAATCCCGCAGGCTGACTACCACTTTCAACCATTGACGTTTTTATGCAGCAGGGAATTGGAAACAACCACCTCAACTCAGGTCATAAAATGCACAAAAATAAACCTAGATAAAACAACATAAATAACGTTATACCGCAATTAAGTCAAGATTTAACAAAAACTTTATGTAATTTCCTAACCATGAACATCGTAAAACAGAAAAAAAAAACGTAAATGGAACTCATGGACGTGAAACCTTTAGTTTCCAAAATAAACAGAAAGGCTATTATCAACAATCAAATATCCAAGCCAAGAAAGAAGCTAAAGCAATGCCCCGATACTAAAGATTATGTCAACTGATATGGAGGAGCAAAGGAAAACTCGAACTCCGTATTCAACCAAACAGTGTAATGATGCGTTCATAAATCTATTTTCTTCTAAGTTCTTCAGCAACTGAGTACAATAATAAAATATTTCTATATTTAAAGCTTTCAGTAAACCAAACGGGACAAATAAACTCATATTCAGCATGCATCAAGACTGGGAAAATAAATGACAATCAGCGGGAAAGGCTACTATAGAATGCAAAAAAAAAAAAAAAATCACAACATTAATATTAAAAAACCGCTAAAGGATTCTTAAATTTGGATCGAAATGATAGAAACCTAAAATAGAGAGGAAAGTTTAGTCAGAAATCTTTGAGGAAGACTAAAGAGAAAAATGAAACGGACGGTTACTGTGGGAATAAGCTTGCATTAGAATGAAATCGACAGTGAAGATCGTGTGAAGTTGAAACCTGAAAATGGAAGTTATTTTTTAGTAAGTAGTGGAGAAGGGAAGGGAGTCATGGGAGATGTGTGTTTCTCTACCGTTTTGCATATGGGTAGGCCAATATAAGAAAAGCTCGCGTATGCGTAAGGACTGATCAACTCCCGAGTTTATCCTTGTTTAACACACTTAATGCTACTGATTTGTTTTTTTTAGGGTAAAGCCTGAAAATGATCGTTCTATTATTAAAAATTATAAAATGATCTTTTATTTATAAAATATTATTTTGTTGAATCTCGATTATTAAAAGTTATAAAAAAATCCCTCGATTATTCATATATTTCAAATTTATAAATTTTGATAAAAAAATAATGGTCATTTGAGCAGGTGATATAATAAAATTATATTTTAATGATGTCTATTGGCACTATCATCACTTTTAAGCATCAGCTTGACGACATAATATTTCAAGTATTGGCTCGATAACATAATGTAAACGGAGATTCGATATAAATACATCTCATGTGATTCTAGGATCATATTTTATTATATTTCAATCAACATATTAACGTCCAACTCAAAAGACAATCAATTTTTTAATGAAAAATGATAAATTTAGAATATATGAATAGTCGGTGATTATTTTATAACTTTTAATAGTTAGGAGACAAAACAAAACAAACAGTAACTTTAAATAATTGTGAAACTCAACAAAATAATACTTTATAATCGGGATCATTTATATACTTTATCTTTTTAATATAAAAATAGACTGAAATTAGTATGTTAATTACTCTTATAAGTCTGTAAAAAGAATCATAGATATATTTATGTAAATAGCTGTTTTAAGAAATAAATAATTGATTTTGATTGTACAGTCAACCTTCTTATTAACAAGACAAGCCTTGTTACAGAAGTTAACCCTACAAGTCGCTGGTTTATAATTGGATATATACATTTATCTTTGTTATTGGTATTAAAATCACAGTGAAAAAAAGCTTTTCTACCTAAATTTAAAATTAAATATTGTAACTTTTTTAGTTGAAAAATTAGATTGGAAATTAAATTATACTTTTATTTTGATTATTTAATTTTAAATAATTGTTAAACTAATACTTATATATAAAATTATATATTAAATTTTTTTTTGGTTTGTTAATTAGGCTTTGGAGGTATTTAAGTCTTCTAACTCACCAAATAATAATAAGTCGGATCATTTACATATTGAGTCAATTATAGGTTAGGTTAATAACATGTTGAATAATATAAGTTATTTACCAGATTAATTTCAAGTTTGGATTCATATCAGATTGGATGCAGGTCAGGTTCAATTCATGTTCAGGTCGTTCTTAGGTTGGGTGCCGGTCGGGTTCAAATCCAAAATTACCATGTCCAACTCGGGTTCAGGTCAACACAAATTCAGATTCGAATATCATCACCACCTCATGTCACAAATAGTTTTAACTCAATTCAGTTTCAATCAGTTTTGTAGGTCGGGTCAGTTTTTTAGATCCCTAAATACCTCTTATCTCTATATTTTTTTAATTAGGTCCTTAATTACTTTATACATGATCGGGTCAGATCATATCATATTTATATCCTAAAATTTGAGGTTGGATCGAGTTCGGATAAAGAAATGTGATTTTCAAGTTGAGTTAGTCTGGTGGAGTATATGTTGATATTTTGATAATTTATCCCTCTCAAGGATATTTTATTCCTTTAGTGCATTTTAGACATCTCTTCAGTCTTAATCTCTCATCACTGATCACTCATCATTCTCTTAAATTATTTAGAAATCAAACTTTGACTTTTACATTGTGGGTACGAATTAATACCAAAGATAGGGTATCGATACTCAATCCTAAAGTATCAATACTTTTAGATAGTATCAATATCAAAATGGCATGTTGAAATCTCAACCTTAATGTCAATATCAGTACTCTATGAACAATACACATACTGTAAGCATTGGTATCAATACTTCTTAAGTAATTAGCCGAAATTTCTACTCACATTCATACAATATCAGTATCTGAAGAACAATATCGATATCAAAGTATATAAGTATCCATTTTTAAGGTCATGAATCACTCTAAACAGGGCCGTGGCTGGGGGCGCAAACTGCGCGACCGCGCAGGGCCCCCCAAAAAATGGGGCCTCCAAAAAAAATATATAGTGGCGTTTTACCAATAAACGCCACTATAGATAGACCTATTGCGATGTTTTTTCAAAAAAACACCACTATTATTGCGGCTTTACTGATAAAACGTCATTATAGATGGATTTATTGCGGCGTTTGTCAAGAAAACGTCACTATTAATGCCCCGAAATCGAATATATCTAGAAAATAGGGGCCCCTTTATACGAATTTGTACAGGGCCCTCGAAAACCCTGCCACGACCCTGACTCTAAAGACCCATTTCAATACTCTACTTTAGTCCTTATTCGGTCTCCAAGGCATTTAACATTAATCTTACTCATTTCTAACAACAAAGCATCATATTAAATCAAAAAAATATGAATTAACACTCAAACACTGAATATGCATACAGAAAAGACAAAACAACACAGCTATGAAGCTCAATAAACATTTCAAAGTTGGAAATGTACAACATTGATATCCAAAATTCGAAATGAAGTTCTTTGCTCAGCTCTCACCAAACTTTTATTTTCCTCTGATACAAATAGGTTCTCTAACCTCTTTCTCTAATCAAATATACAAGACAAAAAGTTTCTAATTAAACACACAGTTATAGGAAGGCATAAGAACGCATCCATACTTAATGAATACTGTGAACGCATCCATACAAGAAGAAAGGTGAAAAATCTTTCATCTTTACCCCCTTATTTTTCTCTAATGACATAAGCACAATTAAGAGATCTCAACCTTATTTTCCTTCAATGGAATAATTATTCATTTGGTCCCTTCTCAATTGATCTCAAATCAAAAGTTTTCTTTTTATGGCCACTCGAGCTCAAATCTCATAAGATTAGGCTCACATTTTACCTAACAGTTTCAACAACACTCTCACATTAGTCCATAGACCCCTCGAATCAATCCTCATACGTTGACTTAGAAATTTAGATCATTACACATAATACATAGATAACTTTTACTTGACAATTTGTAATTTATAAAAAAATATAAAAATATTGCAGCACAATCTTTAAAGTGTAGTTAAATAATAATTTTATCAAAATGATAAGGATGATGTGTGTAATTTTAAAAAATGAATTACAAACAATCATCTAAGTGAAACCTAGTAGCGTATTCAAGCACAATATTACATATGTGCAAGCTTTTTCAATTTTTTGTGGTGATTAATTACGCTTAACTAGATGGACTTGGTAAACAACTAGGAATGGGGACCCTAACTCTATCCCTTTCAAGGTTCAAACTCAAGGCCTTATGAGTGTACAACTGTTTCATATTTGATCTTTGATCATGAACTAATTTCACTAAGCTTCTCTTCGCATTTGACCTAAAAGGGCAATTAGATGACAAAAACCCGTCAACCAAGTGTAGATATGCCTCTAAATCGTGACAACATGCCACGTCCGCATCCGGTTTTAGATAGGGCGACATCTTAGTGTCGACCCTTAATTCAGTTCCGACATGAGAGTATGCCCATGGATTATTATCATCAATCACATCAAAAACTCTTTCGAAACTATCATTTTTTCGTTTCTCTTTTTGATGCTGTTTTGATCCATCTCCAATGAATGCACCGGGAACCCTAGTGATTAAATCTTGATCGTTCACAATTCGTAGTACTTTAACATTTTTTTCGTTGAGCCGATTGACAAAACCTTTGTTACCAACTCGAGGACCTCCGAAAGAAAATACCGCGACAGGGGGCACTTGAGACACACATGAACTGATTTCATCTGCGACTAAAAGAGAAAGTGCAGCACCGAGGCTATGCCCTGTGATTGTTATGCTAAGGGTTTCACCTTTGTATGCTTGGATCAACCTTTTCATTTCTTCAACCACAGATTCAGCCAAACTCGGGACGTGAATGCCACGCGTTTTATGCAAGCTCAAGAATCCACATTCCACCTTTTGGGTCGAATCATCCGATTCAGGGATCGAAACCAATTGGGCTCTTAAATTTTCAGCCCATTCCATGCACGTAGCGGTCCCGCGTAGAGCAATAACAATATCTCTTCTTCCCATACGTTGAATCTCCCTGTTGTCGTCACAAACCGCAACGAACCCGATCCAACTAGACCGTTGGGTCATCCACCCAAGATTCGGAGCCACGTCGTCCACCCATTCCGGCAACCCGATAGAGGAGGTGGCGTAAAGACTCTTGGTCACCTTATAACACCTATCAGGCAATGCCACGTGCCTCGGCAGCGGAGCTTCGTCGGTCGACATAGCGGGGTTACAATGGAAACCATGGTAAGCAGCTTGAACGAATTCCCCGTATCTCACCACTTCCCGCCTTAGATTTTCATCGAGCGGGTCAAGCAATCCGGACCAATCATTGCATCCATGGTATTCCCTCCAACGACAACCGAGGTTGTTCCTGGGCGAATACTCCATGGTCTTCGATAAAAGCCGTTTAAGCCTATTCAAATGACGCGGGGACATCTCTTCGGCGGCTTTCGTTTCAGGCCAAATCCTCGAAAGATTAAGCCCTTCGAGTAAACCCCTACCTCTGTTCTCGATGGCGTGCTTGGTAACTTGTTTAGGCTCGGGTTGGTTTTTTTTCTGGAGCAGGTTTTCGAGGTTGGAAAGGTGTTGCTGAGTCAACTCAGTGGAAGATGCAGGCTTTTGAGACGAGGGATTGGGTTTGGTTAAAGGGTTTAGAAGTGATGGCTGCCGGCACTTGAAACTTGCCCGCCCAGCTTGGAAGACGTGCAAGTTTTTAGCGGGAAGAGTGGTGCTTATGCCGATCTGCATGGAACACATGAGAAAGAGCAAAGGACGAATAGAATTCAAGAGAGAATAAAGAGAGCTTAAACAGCAAAGCCAAGATTGAGTGGGATCCAATAAAACAGAAGGGTTATGTATTTATAGGCCAAAGTTTTCAACGAAGAGCCACATTTGATTTGTCAAACAATGGCAATACTGAAAATATTTGATCTTTTCAAGGATTAAAAAAAGAGGGATAGAAGTAGGAACTGGGAAAATATTGAAACCCCATTGAGCTCGGTTCAAGGAAAGTATGACAAGAATTAAAATTTTTGTTTTGGGTAAACTAAGTATTTAGTCACCATCTATTTTTGTGATTTTGTTTTAATCTTTCAACTATTTTTTTCTTCAAAATCATGTTTAATGTTATGTTTTGGTCACCTTCGTTTAAAAATTATTGATGATGTTAACATGTCACATAAGATAATGCCATATTATCATTGAAAAAATTAAAAAAATTATCACATCAGTAGTTTTGTATATTCTTTAACGGTGGGTAACCAAAACGTAATGTTAGGTTTGATTTTTTTTAAAATTAGTTAAAAGATCAAAATAGAATATGAGATAAATAGGTGACTAAATAAAAAATTTAACCTTTGTTTTTTTTTTAAAAAAGTTGAATTAACTGAAATGGCCTTTTTAATTGTGTGAATGGTTTTTTTTTCATTGTTTATTTCTACCATGGTTGGGTTGACTCTAACTATAAATCATAATGGTGTAGTACTAACTTCTGTGTACGGGTACAGGAATTTACCCTTTTTAGTGGAATTGACTGAAAGGGCCCTTGGATTCTGCCCCCTTTTAATTACGTGTGTGTGTGTTTTTTTTAATTATGTTGCTCTTCAGCTTAATTTAATATTAACAAATGATTACTTTGAGGTGCAATAGAAAATATGATAAAAGTTATAATATTTTAGATTAAGTGTAACTGAAAATGTTAATTTTTTACTAATATTTTTGTTGAACTTTAAATGTTACAAAGAATATAACATTTTGAAGAATGTAACATTTTCAATTTAAACGAAAATATTAGTAAAAATGTAACATTTCAGGTTGCGTTCAACTTAAAATATTATAATTTTTATCAAATTTTTAATTGCATCCCAAAGTCGTCGTTTTTAATCTTAAATTAAACTGTCACTCATTAGACTTCCCAAATTTTGGTTGTTGGATTGATTTTCACATCATATTTTAGTTTATTGAGTACTCAACAATATACTAAAAACCATGTGCGAGTTAGAACACCGTGTTATTTCATCAAGGGTCTTATTTTATTTCATTTTTCTAATAGTTTAAGTGATTATAAAATAGTATTTGTTTTAAAAAAAATTCTAATAATTAATAATGCACATACATACATAAGTATTTAAATTTGATTTTTTTTAACAATAACTTTTTTTAGTATTAAGTTTGGATTTCTTATTCTTATTTAAATTAACGTAAACATGTTAGCTATCTGCCAAATGATCAAGCTAAAAGTTGCCAGTCTTCCACGGTTGATGGCTTTTGATTCCCAAATGTGGATAATTTTCGGATTAATTATATACATCCTATTTTTTTTTTGTTTTTTTCAGCATAACTATGATATGTAGTTAACGATTGAATACAAATTATAATGTTAATATATTACAGTTAGGCAAATCATGTCGGCTTTATCAGTTTGAACTTTCATTGGCAATGGTGTAAAACGTTTAAAATTATGAAGGTTCCTTCTCAATACCAAAAAGATATTAATGCAAAGAACAAAGTCATCAATTTTGAATCATTTTTTGTGGTGAAAAAATATAATCTTTTTGTTTCCTTTTTCTAATTAATCTTTTTGAATTGAACCATGGAAAAATTAGGGTTTATTCGTGGGAGGGGGACCATAAAATACTGACATTATCATCCTTGGCACACAATCTATGAATTTCAGAAAGAATGCTTTTCTTTCTTCCTTTCTTTTTTGAATAGAGAAGGAATGCTTTTTAAATGTTGAAAATGTAGGTTTTAAGAAGAAATTTCTCCGGCTGAATCCATTGTGATGAATAGGTTTCCAGACCTAGATTGCATGCATGTCGAGCCACATTTTAAATCCTCTCTTTTTGCAGTAGTTGACAAGTTGGTATGTATGGTGTTACTTAATGGGGAGGTGTGGTGTTTATCTTTACATCCATCATGTCCTATATAGTTGATGCAAAGCACTAGAAAGGCATAATGATAAAATTATTTCAACCATGTGATCACTTTTCTTCATATACTTTTTAAAGCGTTTAACCTCTAACCTTTTAATTTTTAGTCAAAACAGACTTGTTTAAATGAAAATCGTTAGTTAACTAACGATCAACACATGTTATTGACGTAACATTTTCACATATATTCAATTGCTGACATGACACATGCTACGTCATCACTTTCGTGATGTGACACATACCATGTCATCATTTTGGGTGATATGGCACGTACCACGTCAGCAATTGAATACATGTAAAAATATCACGTCAACAACATGTGTTAATTATTAATCAACTAATAATTTTCATCCAATAATATCTATTTTGACTAAAAATTGATACGTTAAGAACTAAAAAGCTAAAAAGAATAAGAGCAAATTAACTATATATGTAAAAGTTGGAGGTGATTTTAACATTATGCCCACTAAAAATGTATTGAGATTTGAGTGCTTTTCCTTGTTCGTTTCCATTTACCTAAGTGTGTAAAGCATGCACTTTAGCACTTATGAAAAGTTGTAATATATATGATTTTTATTAGTTAAATTGGATTTTTTTTACGTGTAAGCGGAATTAAAACTGTTTTTTTAATTAAATAATTATATATGTATACAAACAAAATTTATTTATACTAGTGTAAAATTAAATAAAATTTATATATTTGTATAATTTTTTACTAGTAATATTTTAACAATCTAATCATATATATATATATATATATATACACACGCTATTTTTTTATAATACATGCCTTAACTTTTTATACTTTCATAAATTAGAGATATAACTAATAAATTTAAGAAGTTAAAAATTAAATTTTAGTACTTATAATCATAAAACCGATCAGTATTTTCTGTCAAAATTTATTATTAATATATTTATTTATTTTATCAATCATATACCTCCTCATATGTGAGAAAATAACCTAATCAATATGTAAAATTGGCAAAAATATTTTTATAAATACTTAAAACTATCCATTATCTTAATTGAATGTTTGAACATGCTGTGGAGTCTATATCTTTCAAATTGTTACAGTAGTCATGATATAAATTAAATTAAGACGTAATAATATTAATAAAATTTACAAGAAAATATTAAATATTTTTATAAGAATTAATATTTTAAAATTAAAATAATATTTAAAATTAAAATCTCGAACTTTGACAAATTTTTGAAAAAAGGTTGTCAACATATTTCAACATAGATATTCTAATTCTACTATCAAAATTTTAAATTCGTCACATATATCATTTTTTTTAGAAAACATATATTAATTCTTTTGTAATTAGTTGTTTTACTTTTTAATATACATCTCGTAACGTGTTTATAAATGAATGAAAAGCCTTGGCGGTAGGTATCATATATAATATGATAAAATAATGATTATTGACACGTTAAAAACGAAATCTAACATCTAAAATTTCCTTCTTATCTATCATACTCGGTACTTTTCAAGACCTACCGTGTTGCATACGTACATATAATTTTGGAAGTATTTATGGAAGTATTACAGTCAAATAGAGATTTTCAAGTCATTGAATCACAGCTCTCTCGAGTTCTCGTATCTTCTAGTTCACATGCAACCATGTGTTTTTTGCATACATATTTTATAAGTCTTTAAATGAATTATTTTCACCTTAGTTTTTAATTGTTGCATAATAATATAATAAATACTTATTAATTTAACCTTTATTTGTTTTTAAATTAAATTTGAATAATAACATTTCGGTTCTAATTAAATTAATTTGATTTTAACATAAATAATAATTACATCATTAAAGACTGGACTATATCGAATCAAATTACTTGGATTGAATCACAAATTTTAGTGTATCAAGGGAACTGATTATTTTGAGCAAAGTACAAAGGGTTTTGGTCAACTAAAAGGGAATATTTAATTCCAAAATTTCGTCAGACTCAACGGCCAGTAACAACTAGTTTTATTTAAATATTACAAAGGTAGTACCGATACTCCCTATAGGAGTACCAATACCCTCTGTCCTAGGCAGTTTTATTTTGCATGAAATTTCATCCCCAACGGCTCTAAATCACACCCAACGGCTAGAAACGACCACAAACACATTCCAACATATAAATACAAGTTCAAGACACTTGAAGAAGGGTTAGAACACATATCCAAGCAATCAAACACAAGATAAGAGTTTTTCATTCCTATTTTACTTTCTCTTGTAAATATTTTATTCTTGTGAGCTTAATTTTTGTAAACACATACCTTTTAGAGGTTTCTTTGTTTACTTTCTTATTCCTTTTGTAAAAGGGGTTGTGGTTCTAGCTGAGCCTTTGAAAAGATAGGGAGTTTGTAAAGGTTATCTCTTTGTCCTTGAAAAAGAAAGAACAAATTAGTGGATTTTGTTGGAAAATCCTAAGTGAGGAACTTAAGTAGTAGATGTAGACTTGGTTGATAAGTCGAACCACTATAATTGATGTGCAAATTTCCTTATATTTTTTCTCCTTACTCCCTAAACTTTAAATTGCCAATTCACCCCCTCTTGGTACATTTTCGGTTGTCAATTGAGCTTCATCACAAATCCTAACAATTAGTATTAGAGCTTCACTCTTTAGAAGGCTACACATCCTTGAGACGATCCTTGAATAAGCTCAACCGATTTCCAACACAACCGACAAGAAGATGGCTTCGACCTCCGGCTCTTACTACATTGAAGACTCTTAACTGGTTTACAAGCCACCATATTTCAATGGAGCAAATTATGTCTATTGGAAGAATATGATAAAGCTCTTCATTCAAGCCAACGATCTAGGATCTTGGAACTTTATCATGAGAGGATACTCCATTCCAATC